ACAGAACAGAACAAGACACACTCACACACCCAGATGATTGATGAAGGCTTAGCAGATGAGAGTCCGAGTTTACTGAGATTAAAACCGGGACAGTGTTGAGAGGTTTGTCCATGCACCAGTTAGTGGGAAAAATTCTCCTTTTCCTTTCAAGGAGGGAGAAAATGGCTCTCCAATGCAGTGTGAGCAGTGTCAGGTCAAGCTCTTGTGGTAAAATGAAACCACAGAGAGATGGACCTTCAGAAATAGAAATCTAAAGATGGAATAAAAACCCTGATCATTAACAGAGATGCCCCCACTGGGGTGGAATATTGATTCTCCTTATAAAACAGAAACAAACAACTGAAAGGTTTACCACACTCTGTAAGGAAGATACCAGTATGTTGAAGACACGTAGTAGCACGGCATGTAACCAGCAACATCACGTAGACCTGGAGGAACTTCTGCCTACGCGTTAGCTGGAGACTGTTAAGAACCTTAAAAAAATGGATCTTTTTTTTTCTTTTCTTTTTCCCATAGTCACACACCCATACAAATGAGTCTTTTAAATGAGATAAAAGTCACAGCAACATGAGTTCTCCTACTGAGTGGGATGACTTTTTAGCCCTGTTTGCTCTGATGGGGAAAATAAAAAAACGGACCCCAGGCAGACACGACACTCATCCATGAACAAGGTTAGTACAAAACCAGTAAGGCATCACTTTGGGAAGGTCAGCACCGAAGAGGTCAGGCAAGGCTCGTCCAACGAAGCCCGAGGCCGGGGCATCCAGGAGGGAGTGGCCGGGCTGCCACTCCCTAGTTGAGTTGCATCACGTTTGTTCTGAGAAAAGTGCAAGTCTTTCGAGAGGTGACCTCACCACCCACCTGAGGTTGGAGCTGGCACGCTGGAGGTGTCAACGTGCGTTCCGAAGCCTCGAGGACAAGAAGGAAAGGCAAGGTCCCGGCTCCCCCACGTGCTGAGGATGGGGTCCCGGTCCACTCCACAGGACGTGGTGACCCAGGCCCCAGGGGGAGGCGAGTGTGTGGAACTGTGAGGATGGACAACTGAAAACCAAGACTCAACTCCTGCGGTTCTCACTTTCACCAAAGGATTGATTCTGACTACGGGTG